CCCCCCTCTCTTTCCTTCTCGCCTCTTGCCATGCTGGGTGCCTGCTTCCCGTTTCCCGTGCTCACGCCGCCCGCACCCCCGGTCCCGCCTCAGGATCACCGCCGACCTGAAGTACTATCTGAAGGACTTGAACGACGCCCGGGCCCGGATTGCCGCGGTTCCCCCCTCGGATGACGCGCCATTCATCATTCGCCAGGAGGTATGTGCATGCCTCGGGTCCTTGTTCGCGCGTGCCCCCTCCTCGCATTCCTGGCTAACCGCCCCCCGCGCTTGCTGCCCCGCCCCACTGCAATGTCTTCCCCCCAGACTCAAGCCCTGGAGGAAACCGAGCGCATGATCCCCGATGCGGTCACCCGCCTCGGCGCGGCCGTCGAGCAGCTTGATCTCTTTTTGGTGCGTCCTCGTTCCCCCGCGCGCGCGCGCGCGCGCGCACATACATGGACACCTCTCGTTCGGCATCCCCCCCATCCCCCCCATCCCCCCCATCCCCCCCTCCTCGAACAGGCTGCTGATATGATCGCACTCCCCTCCTCAGACCGCCCGCGCCAGCGAGGTGGCCGAATTCAAGGCATCCTCTCCCGAGGCGGCGGCCACCCTTGAGCAGGTTCTCCAGCAGCTGGCCACTGCCCGCGAGCTGGTTTGATGCCTTTGCCCCGGCCGTCGGATGGCCACACTCTCGGGCCGCCCCCCCCCCCCCCCCCCGCCCCCCCATGGCCGGAGGCTTGTGTGCTCGCTCCCGTTCCCCCTCTCTCCGACCTGCCAATGAAACATCAGAAACCCCAGAGAAAAGGCCCCGCCCCGCGCAATTGACGAAGAGGGGCCCCCATGCGGAAGAGGAGCATTTGTGGAGGATGTATTCTGAGCGGGAGGACAAACAAGGCAAGGAAAAGGCGAGGAGTGTGTCAAGGGGGGGGGGAGAGAGAGAGAGAGAGAGAAGGGACACCCGCGCCCTTAGAAGCCCAGCATGCGCTTGTAGGTAGCACGAGTCTTGTCCTCCTCGGCCTTGATGGCGGCACGGATGGACTTGCGCAGGTTCTGGAAGTTGGCCACATCGGTCGGGGAGAAGCCACACCCGTCAGCCTTGGCCAGAGCCCGATCGACGGACTCCAGGGCGGTGGGATAATCCTTCAGCGAGAAGTGGCAGCTGGCCACGCGATAGAGGGCCTTGACATGGTTCGGGTCCAGGGCAAGGACCTGTGTCGCAATCCGCGAGGACAGCCGGGGGGGGGGGGGCGGGCGGGGGGGCAACGCATGGCGAAGCACGGTCAGCGAAGAGCCAAGGGCCCGGCACAGCCCCCGGGTGAGGGGAGGCGGCATGCATGTGTGGACATCCTTGCATGTATGTGTGCGCGTTTGGTGAGGGGGGCTGGAACGCGAGGAGGGGGAAACATCGGGCGCACCTTCTGGCTGGCGGCCAGGGCCTGGCGGAAGTGGCCGAGCTGGAACTCGGCCGTGGCCAAGTTGGAACCGATGGAGATCTGGGCCTGGCGAATGTCCTGCCAAAGGTCGGGGTTGTGCTTCGGCCGGGCCGGGTTGGTGTAGTCCACCTCCAGCTCCTCCTTCAGACAGTCGGCCGCCAGGTTGTAAGTGCGAGCCGCGCGGCGGGGCTGCTTGGCCCGGAAGAGGGTATTCCCCTGCTGGCGCAGGGTGTCGGCCTGCTGGAGCTTCTGTGCCGGCTCCAGATCCCAGTGGGGGGCCGGCTGGTCGAAGGAAACCAGCGACACACACAGGAAGGCCTGCGAGCCGGCAGTGGCCGGGGAATGGGTGGCCTCCTCCCCGCAGCCGGGATAGAGGATGGTGGCATTGCCAAGGGCAGAGGCCGTCTCGCCGGCCACCATGCTGGCCAGCAGCAGATCCAGGAGCTCCGGATTGGCCGGGTCGCCGAGGGTGGCGGTGACCGTGGCACCGGGCAGCTGGTCGGCCCAGGCAGTGACCACCGGCGCGGCGCCAGCAACAGTGGCAGCCGCATCCAGCAGGTCCTGATCCGAGGGCGGGGCCGCGTCGGCCGGCAGGACCCCATTGGCCAGCAGGGTCAGCTGGCAGACGGCCCCCTGCAGCGGGCGAGTGGTCTCGGCCGAGGCCACCAGGACGCGCTTCCGGGCCACCGGGGTGGCATCGCGCTTGGGCTGCAGCGCCGGCAGGAGCACCTCACTGCGGACCACATTCTCCAGGGTGATGTCATACCACACGCGGCCATTCCAGTCGGAGGATGGCAGGCAGGGGATGATGTTCAGGGCATCCGAGCCGCCGGGCCCGAAGGCATACTGCCAGGGGGCCGACACGCGGATGGTGTCCTTGAGGCGCAGGCGCGCGGCGGCCACATGGAAGACCGGCGGCACGGCGGCCGCCGGCAGGAGCGCCCCATCGCCGGCCAGCAGCGGGGTCACATCCAGGGCGGCATCCTCGCTCAGGGGCACCCCGGCGCCATCGACATCCAGGCAGAAGCGAATCGGCCGGGCCAGGTCCGAGCCATCGTAAAGAACGCGCCCGTCCTCCGGGTCCACCACGCGGAAGCGCACGGCCACCTCGGTGCCCGGGGGATTGACAATGGCAGCCTCCTTCTCATCGGCCCCGGTGGCCAGGTTCACATGGCGCCCGACCGGGGTCCGGTGGATCCACTCCTCGCGGGTGACCAGGCCATCGGCCGTCAGGCTGCGGTTGCTCTTGACCGCGATGAGCTCCACCTCAAATTCGAGGACACTGTTCGGGGGGATGGTGGGCGGGCTGCCCTGGGCACCGTACGCCACCTCCGGGGCGCAAAGGAGAATGGCCTTCTCGCCGATGCGCATGGTGGGGATGCCCTCCTCCCAGGCGGTGATGACCATGCGCGAGCCGATCGTGAACTGGAAGGGCTTGCCCCGGGTGACGGAGGAGTCGAAGACCGTGCCGTTGGTCAGACGCCCGGTGTAGTGGACGTCGACAACATCGCCTGGCGGGGCGGGGGGGGGG